CTTTCCTCCATATGAGCCCCCTGATGAATTTTGTAGGGCTGCAACAACTAATCGACATAATCGATTATAATCGATTATTGAAAAAGTTGTCAACTTTTTCAATCATCGATTAATCGGCTTCTGATTGGTTGGCCCTGTTTACAGCTCCACACGCTGCGCGCCACACCTCCTCCCCACCTCACGTTCACCGCTGCCAGACCCGCAACGCATCCACGCGCCGAATCTCCTCCCTGCCTCACGTTCACCGCCTGCCCACATCCACGATCGGCACAGGGACGTGGGGAGAAGTAGTAAGGAGGAGCAGGTGTGGGGGGATGACAGTCGCTGATAGACAGGTAAGCCCGCACTTTCCCACACATGGTGCTCTATAATGTATTGCTGGGATTTGTATTCCTCTATAGCTGATGGTACATTGTGCTGTATATTATACATAGGAATACAAATCCCAGCAATACATTATACACTGTATGTATAGTGTACTATTGCTGGGATTTGTTGTATTCCTATATAGCTGGTGGTATTCTGCATTGCGCTGTATAGAGCACTACAAATCCTAGCAATAATGCATTATACAGCGCAATGCAAAATACCACCAGCTATAGAGGAGTACAACAAATCCCAGGAATACATTATACAGTGGTGCAATGCCGACTACCACTAGCTACAGAGGACTACAAAACCCAGCAATAGTACATTATACAGCGCAATGCAGAATACCACCAGCTATAATGTACTATTGCTGGGTCTTGTTGTATGCTTCTATAGCTTGTGGTATTCTGCATTGTGCTGTATAATGTATTGCGTGGTTTTGTAGTCCTCTATTGCCGGTGCCATTCTGCATTCATTGCTGTATAATTTTACACTTTTTATTTCACTATATTGCACACCACACTTTTGTTCTCTTTTTTACTTCCACCGCTCCAAGCTTGCTCCTGTGATGGACTACACTCAATACAAACTAGTAGTCCATCACTGGAGCCATTGTTAAAAATGCATTTTATTTTTTATCCGATTAATCAAACTTAATAATCGGCTAACTGAAAATAATCGTTAGCTGCAGCTTTAGAATTTTGTGAGTAAAATTGTTTTTCTGGATGAAGGGGAAAGATGGGATGAGGAAAAGCTTAGAACAGAAACAGAGAGGGTGAGAAGGGGAAGAATACAAACTCCTGACAAGAGTATTGAAATACGTAAATGAACAGTACATGCAGTGCCTACACTGACTGACGTGGCAGAGAACGTCTCAGGTTGGAAAGGTATTGGTTCTACCTATTTTTCTGAGAAGCTAAATATCGTCTTAATAATGAAATATTTCAGCCTGAAGAGATTAGGCTTGTCATTTTTGCTAGCTATTTTTATTGGTAAAAGAAAGCACTTATCAAAGGAAATCATCTGAGGTTTAGTGAGCGGCAAGGACAAATTGTACATATAGCATTGACATTCTTTTTAACTCTCTCTCTGTCAGATACATAACCATCCAGCTTGCTAAATGGAATACTTTTGGAACTAGAAGACTCATAGCAGCAGACTGAAATATAGATTGAGATACTTGCTGCTAAAATGGAAAAAAAAGATTAATTGAATTTTCTGAGGAGAGATCAGCTGGCGGTGAAGGTCCCATGCAGGTTTGGTCATAGTTGCCATGTAGACCATTTTGTTTCATGCAGAATATGGGATGCGGAGTCTGGCCATTGATTTTTCTATTGAAATAAAATATTTTAGGGCATGTTCAGGATGACAGTGTTCTATGTAAATAGGGATTTGCTTACAGCAGACTGCATTATCAGTACAGAAAAAAAAAAAAACAGTTCTTCCAAATTCCTATTAGTTGTAGGATCTATAACTTAGAGAAATGTGCTTGGATTCAGGATTATTTACAGTGGTCATAAAAAGTCTACACACCCCCTGTAAAAATGACTGTTTTTTTAGATGTAAAAATAAATAAATAGCTTCAGAATTTTTTCCACCATTAATGTGATCTATAATCTGTACACCCTGCAATAAGTGTGAAGAGTCTCAACTGATTGGCCATTGAGATTTTCATCGCTGCCTGCACTTTTAGAAACACAGAAGAGTGACGG